GTGCTCAAGAAACATTTTTATCACCACCAATGTTGAAAACCGTAGAGCTGCTTAATATTTTTGTGGAAACCATAATATAATAATATTTTTTTCAGGATTTTTGGATAGACAGGAAGCTTAATTATTAGAAATAGAAAACCTTAGTAACATTATAAATGTCTTTACTGTCACTTTTGAGTAACTTTTAAAGCTGATGATACATGGGGCAACTTTTTGAGCAATGCTGCTGGGCAACTTTGGGCAATGTTGCCGTCAACGGGCAACCAGTTGAGACACAGGGCCCACAACCAATCTAAAGTATCCAGATAGACATTTGTTATCAAAAAGTTGCCCAGTGTATCATGAGCTTAATGCATTCTTGCAGGACAAAGGTACTGACTTTTGAATGGTATTGTATTGTTCAAGGCTTGTCAGAGGGTATGCCTTATAATATTTCCCTAATGACTTAATCATGACATGGGAAATTAAGCCAGTATATATTCAGTCTAATAGTAGAACTCAATCAGTGCATGGGTGATTGCTTGTTTCTCATAGTTACATTCACAAACATTTATTAAGCAGTATTGCGAAATGCAAGTTAGTGATGTGACCCAGTGCCAGTGTGTGAAGATGGTTTGTGTAATGTGTATGTAAGTGTGTGTGTTAATTTGTTGTTAGGTGTGCGGTTCATGTGGGACTGCTGTTGTGAATCCATACAGAGTGTGAAGACGACTCCAGGTTCTGGCTGTATTCTGGCCCACTGCATGGGCCTGGGAAAGACCTTTCAGGTATGGGGCATATGAATATTCTCCTTTTCTTTGTAAAATCAGAAAGTGTGAGTTTCACAGAAAGCATAACTGTCTATGTGTTTGTTTCAGGTCATTGTGTTCCTTCACTCAGTGCTGCTGTGTAAAGTGCTGCCACTGAACAGAGCTCTGGTGGTTTGTCCTCTCAACACAGTGCTGAACTGGAAGAGCGAGTTTGACCAGTGGCAGAGGGGCTTAAGACCCAACATACTGAGGGTCAGTAGAATTCTCTCGCTTCCTCTTTCAGGTGACTTTAGTTTGTGTTTTTGATCTAGGTCATGTTTACAGTGGTGTGAAAAAGTGTTGCCTCCCTTCCTGATTTCACACTTTAATGTTTCAGATCATCAAACAAATTTAAATATTA